CTGTCCCTACAAAACGTGTAATATATTGAACTGATTTTGCTATAACACACTTTTTGGCATTGTTTTCGATAATTTTGGTAAAGAAAATCCCGATTCCCACAGGGGGCCAATTTCGGCTCTTAACGCCACCCGTCCGTCTATTAAATTTTTCACAGAATAAACGTGCTGGTAATTTTCAGTATCACGTTTTGCTAATTATTAAAATTTTCGTTGTAGAAGCATGTCAAAGACGAAATGCTGATCTTATTGAATGAGCAGCTGTAGTTTTTCAAAATATATTTGATATACAAAGGGTTTTAAAACCGATAGAATCTGTTCGATTCGATCGAATCTAAAAAGCACGTTAGATGAAATCCAAACTAATATTAATCACGTCTTTTATCCGAGTGAAAATTTTACGTAAGTATAATATGTGAATGATTAAAGATAGTGTTTTTTTATAATAGAAATCTTTTGAAATCATAGCTATCTAATTGTCATAACTTTAATGCTCAAAGCTTCTGTACTTCTTAGAATTTATACAAGGGGGAAACAGCGATTTGTGATTTTGTGATTTAAAATGAGTTTACCTGATTTGGGTGATTTAAAACGAGTTTAACTGATTTTGCTGATTTAAAATGATTTTAGCTGATTTAAAGCATTCTGTTTCTTACTTAGAATTTCGGATTTATTGCGTTTTACATCCTTTATGGGACAAATGACTGAGATCTAAAGAATTTATATTTGTCGTATTCAGATTATTTGTTACACTGAATTAACGATCCTTGTTAAACTCTCTGATGAAACAATTAATTAAAATAAAAAAAAAATAGGGGTACTTATCATCTTAAGGTAGCTTTGTTTGCAGCGAATATTCTCACACTACAATATACCCGTATAGATATATTGTCATATTTCGACCTTTACGTACATGAAGTATCTTTTCTTGATCAGATACATTTACTATTAATTCGAGATGGAGTGCATGCTAGTTCATTATCTAAAACAATTGTTTAAACCGAGACACTGTTCTTGTTTTCTTATGATAGAAATACAATATATATAAAAAACATACAGAAAAAATCATGTAGTTTGTTGAACCCTTTTCAATCGATCTGACGACAATATGGGTCTCGTTTTTGAAAAATACCAGTTTTGCAGTCTTTTTGTGCATATATTTGATACGACCATTCAGCTCACCGGGAAAGAAAGAGTCAGCTTGAGAATTGTCGATGGAATCGAAAATATGCATTCCTCGAATAGTAGAACGAGACACATTCAGAAGAATATCAAGATCAAAGTCATCGATGGACGTTGATTCGTCATGTTCATCCACGATGTCACTTTCACTACGTTGCCTGTTGGATCGGTGTTGTTCGTTATCTTCATCTTCGTCTTCATCTTCGTCTTCATCATCATCTTCGTTTTCATCATCGTTTTCATTTGATTTAATATGTTTCTTGTTAGAAGTTGTACATTTTGATCTTGATAATTTTTTGTATGCTAAACGATTTACTTCTTCGAAAGATATCATCTTATCATATGGATTAAGAATAGACAATCCACAAACAGATAGAATTTGATTAGCTTTAAGATAGGCGCTAAAAACTGTGACTTCAAGTGCTTGCTCTGTAACTGTGATTGTTATTGTAGATGTTAAACGTGTTAGAGAAGTTTTTTTAGATTGCTTATGATGTTTCGGAAATATAATATTATTTTCTTTTGATTCAGAAGACCATTTGATACTTTGAAGAACAGCGAGCGTTTCAACACCCTGAAGAAATTCGTAAACGGAGAAATTAACAACGGATGAAAAAGGACCAGACATTGATCGAGCTACACGAAATGTGCGAAAGCACATTTGCGAATTGAATAATGCAATGTTTAAAGCTTCTTCAGTAATTTTCTGTTCTGCGTACAGTACAACAAGATATGTTAGACTATGTGCATTTAATTCGAGTGAGAAAAGAGTAGGTATGGCGATGAAGAAGTTTCGTTTCGGTATAGGTTCATTGAAAACAGTTGAATGAGAATGTGAAACTTTTTTGTTAAGTTCGTCGGAATTAGTGGTTTGCAGCCACGCATACCATATGCGTACTATAAAGACTGCACACCAGGCATTGTAAACTCGATCAATGACATTAGTACTTTTCTCGACGAAAGTCAACTCAATGCATTTTATGATCTATCAAAAACAATTTATAAATTAGGCCATTCAACAACAGTCAGTAACGAAATAGCATGGGTAGAATTGTTCAACAATTTTTCTTACCATAGGCAATTTTTATGTAATTTCACCTATTTATAGTAATGCGAAGGAATAGTATCTCCTCAATATAATATTTAATAATTTTATGTAAAGAGAAACAC